ATAATTATAATTCATTACATTTATATAGCGCTTTTCTAGGCACTCAAAGCGCTTTACATTGTCAGGGAGTATCTCCTCATCCACCACCAGTGTGCAGCATCCACCTGGATGATGCGACGGCAGCCATAGTGCGCGGTAACCAGTCTTGGGCTACAGGGTGATATGGCTGCCTACTTCTGCTCTAGCTTCTGTCAAGTGTACTGGACCAGTGCATGACGCCACTAAAACAGGCTTACTTAAATCTTTGTTGCCTATATACATTATTAGTGTCACTTTTAGTGTCAAGCATTTTTACGGTTAGTGATACTCAGGTACATTTAGATTTGTCCATCCAAAACAAAAAAGTAACATTTATTTCATTTCCCTTGGAAAATAATGTAATATCTGTGTGATAACACATAGCAGTTTAACTGCTATGTCAAAATTCTTGGCATAATAAATGTGAGCGAAAATTGTGTTGTATGAGAAGCAGAGCGCTGCTGTGGGATGTCCATGTAGTCATTATATGCTGCAAACATGCTCCTCATGGTAAAATCACAGGAAAATGATGCTCTGACAGTATTAATTATAAAGCTACCATGTAATTTCAGCTGATAAAAACATGAGTAATTGTTCTAATCAGCTGGTGAGTGTGATGTAAAAAGAGTCACATGCACCATTTATGGTTAGTTTGTGGTGCTTTGCATGCTTTTAAGCCTGTAATCACCTGTCCTCATTCATTGTAATTGCATGGGAATTGGTGAGCAGCACATTCTTTAAAATTTCTCCTTTCGCACTCCATGGAAGAAAGTCAATCAGGTTTGGATCGACATGAGAGAGAGTAAAGCGTGAAATATTCCTCAAAACTACTCCTGCATGCCTGAGAGGTCTTTATATTCAAAAGACATGAAAATATGAAGGTTACATCCAAGCAAACAGTCCAACACCAGCATTAGATCTACAACAGTTAGATCTTTTCGAACTCATCTCTGCCCTCTTATCCAGCACGCTATGCCTGTTTGCCACTCTTTTTGACAGGTGTTAAAGGGTTAGTTCACCCAAAACTGAACATTCTGTCATTAATTACTCACCCTCATGTCGTTCCACACCCCTTAGACCTTCGTTCATCTTCAGAACACAAATTAAGATCTTTTTGATCAAATCCGATGGCTCATGGCTCCATTGACAGCAACGCCACCCAAACTCTCAAGATCCATAAAGGTACTAAAGACGTCGTTAAAACAGTCGACGTGACTACAGTGGTTCTACAATAATTTTATGAAGCGATGAGAATACTTTGTGCGCAAAAACAAAATAACGACTTTATTCAACAACCTCTTCTCTTCTGTGTCATTCTCATACGTTGTTTACGTCTAGCGCTTCCAGGTTCTACGTCAGAACGCCGGCTCATTATTGGACGGCTCCTGCATCAGCATCACACGCATGCGTCGCGCTGCTCACGTGGGCAGCTTTGGCCAATAATGAGCCGGCGTTCGGACGTAGAACACGGAAGCCTTCACTGTGCTTGCTGCATTAACCGCATAAGGATAATGACGGAAGAGAAGAGATTACTGAATAAAGTTATTATTTTTGTTTTGTTTTTGCACACAAAAAGTATTCTCATCGCTTCATAAAATTATTGCAGAACCACTGTAGTCACGTTGCCTGTTTTAACGACGTCTTTAGTACCTTTATGGATCTTGAAAGTTTGGGTGGCGTTGCTGTCAATGGAGGCCTCTCTGAGCCATCGGATTTGATCAAAAATATCTTAATTTGGGTTCTGAAGATGAACGAAGGTCTTAGGGGTGTGGAACGACAAGGGTGAGTAATTAATGACAGAATTATCATTTTTGGGTGAACTAACCCTTTAATAGTAATTCAACACCTGTGTTTAGATGCGCGTCCAAACACAACAGAACAACGGGTAGTGCTTATCACTAGGAACAGCAGAAACACCCTTAAGACTGTTTGAACACGGGTGGAGTCTACTAAAGTCTGACCACATTTCCACCTGTGGCCAAGAGCAGACCTGAATAATGGGGATGCCAGGAGACACACAGAGCCCCGGTGTGGTGTTTTCCATCAGTTGCTGTCAGTTTAGATTTAGAGGAGGAATGACAGATTCACCATAACAAAAGCTTTGTTTTATTACACGGCAAAACTATTATTTTTCGGATCAAAGCAGAGCAGACAGTTGTTGTCATGCATGACACAGACGGTTGCTGCTATTGACAATTTTTCATCAGAATAGCGCTGCTTTGAGTGGGATACGAGACAGTGTGGGTTGGCGGCCAATTTAAATGGCCACCACATAAAATGTCATATTTTATAGCCAATTTTTGGACGATGCAGAAAAAAATGTGCAAAATTCTTTACATCTGAGGTGGATATATTTTTATTCAGGAAGACAAGCTCATTAACTACGAGGGAAACATTATAACAGAATAAATTGCTACATGTGCATAAAAGACTTGTGCCTTTCTAACAACCAGCCATGTGACTGAATAATTCTCTCAAAGCAAAAAATAAATAAAAAAATCATCACACGGCATGATGGCAACTAAAATGATGCTATCGTGAATCTGAAATGCCAAAGCTCGTCATTAAAAAGACAGCCTAGTATTATCCTCTAGGATGAGAGAGATGGATTCAGGCCGGTTAATGGCCAGTCACTTTGTCATGCGTTCATTGATCATGTTTATGCCATTTAGTGGCTTTCAGTGATGAACTGAAGGATGATTTTATCACTGCTTCCAGCAGAAATGTGAATATGAATATAAAAATAAAATAATGTATTTGCAAATAAAAATGTGAAAACATTACACATTATGCAAACCTAACGTTAATGTATAAAATGTATCATGTTTTTAGGCAAGTGCAAATGTCTACAGGGTAATTAACAATGGTTACTATACTATGCTGAAACGACAAAAACAGCAATGGTTGTTGTGTTGTAACTACTGGTTCAAGGTTTCTCATAGGTTACAGTCGTACATCCACCCACTCCATCTCCCATCATTCCTAGTAATAACACCCATCATCATTCCCATGGAAATCCAGCAGTCAGCACCAGTGTATGAACACTGCTGCCAGCACTGTAGTCACTGGGAATCATTTATAGAGCACCAAATTAAGAGGTTTATGCCTCTAGGGAAACCACTAGTTTTCACAGGAGTAGCCCAACCACAAATTTACATTGGGTCATTTTTCCTTCATAGGACGCAGTGTTTGAACTCAAAGCTTTGTGATGATCTGTTAGATTGCGAGTAGGAAGGCTGGGGGTCGTTTAACGTTAAATTAATAATAATAATAATAATAATAATGTTATAAACATTGATTCTGATATTTTTCCTTTAAAATATATGGACAGGCAAACGCCAATTTGGTCCTCTCTAGGTTTAACTATATATTAAGTTTATTATTATTACAGACATTTCTGATGCAACTAAATGCATCCAGGGTCGCACATAATGAAATTATTTAAATCAAACGCAAAATTGAAGATACAGTCTGGTAGATGTTGTCAGTAGGCTAACTGAGCTTTGTTACCAAACGAGCACATCTTCAAAAACGCCACGTCTAAACATCTAACAATCCACTAATCATATTCTATAGAAAGGTTCAAGGTGGTCAAAATATGATGCATTGGTATCGAGCATAAGAGATGTGTTTAGCCAGTGTTCTTATGAAGGATTGTTGAGCTAATGTAGAGCAATCAAAGCCCTTGATCCGTCTACAAAAACAAGCGCACGTTAGCTTAGCCAGTTAGCCGCCTAAAGTAGGTTAACGCGATAATGGCAAAATAATCAGACAAATGAATGAACAGCAGGCTACACGGTCCAGCACTTCGGCTTTTACTAGTCTACTAATATCGCATTTATTGGGATTGTCGTGTGAAGTCATTGAATGATACTCACTGCCCAGCTTTAGGTTTCCGAAACTAGACGAACTCCCGCCTGAGGCCTGCGCGCCCCCCGTCTTTCCTGAAGAGCTTCCACCAGCGACGGCTGATCCGGCGGCGGCTGCAGCGGTTCCCGGGATCCCCGGAGGCTCAGCAAACGAGCTAGTCCTGGGCCGCCCGCTGCCGCTCATTTCGGGTTGCAAGTGTGCCAGAGCGGGGGTAAACTGTGCCTGTAGACTGGCCCAGGGGCGTAGTGGATATGTCAATTTAGACTACAGTAAACGTTAAAAAAAAAATAAGATTGCTGCACTATTCTAACAGCAAACTGTGCGCCTCCTCTTTCTTTCCCTGTGGCTGGGCAACCAGAGCTGACGCACAGTGACGCTCTATGCGCATTGTTTTCTGGGTAATGAAGTTCAACAACGCTTTTACGTGCATAGATCCTGCAGCATGAGAATGACTAGCTTTTCATTCATTTTTCACGCCAAGGACTCATAAATATAAATGCAACATCTTTTTTTCTTACCAATAAAACTGTGCCCGTCAATAGAATAAAATACTCGAAATGAACCTAATTTCCAATCAGTCTTTAGAAAGCAGAATGTTTGAAAAGCCATGCATTGCATAACCTTATGGCATAACATACTATAATACAGTAAATAGATAAATAAATACTGAAATGATTACTTTGACTTCAGATGAAATGTGCTATCACATTTGTTGTCGATTAAAATCTCTTCTTTTACAAACACGTTTAAATTGACAAAATGTCAATTTACATGAAAGTCAAACAGAGTTTTCCCTTAAAGGTTCAGGAATGGGCTGATAAAGGAAATGTTTTAATATCAATGCCTACCATTCGCGGGACTAATCATAATCTTTATATTTACTTTTACTTTTAGTCATTTAGCAGACGCTTTTATCCAACGCGACTTACAAATAAGAAAAAGTAATTAAAACTAAAAGCTTATTTTATAATATTAGCATTTTCCGAACAATTAATAATCCATAATAAATATTTAACAATAAACACATGGTGTGTTTTGAGATGTTTTATTATTAATTAATTTATTGGTTGTTTAGGACCTTAGATCAGCAGATGTAGCCTCTCATTCATACCAAACAGTATACCCTAGCATCCAACAGCTACAGTTTGACTGACAGTCTTTCTAGCCAATCAGCGCGCTGCACACGCCACACGTGGTTCCTCCACGGGGCGGGGCAGCACGCACAGAGCAAGGAACAGAGGCTAGACAAACGCTACATTTCCACATCCACCATCGTCTTTACGTCAAAACATTTAACAAACAGTGCGACGCGCTGAATAATACTGGTTCGTTGCGGTGAGAAACGCACTGTGAACACCGGAAAGCTTCCGCGGGGCCGACGAGCGCTGCACGAGGTGAGGTTCAGAAACGGCCGGGGAAAGAAGGCCTCCCTTCAGCGCTCTTAGACCTGCGGGGAAAAGTGAAGAGCGCCGCCTGACGACCGCCATACAGCGGGGTGGCTAGCTCAGGAGACAGCGGGGCGCGCCATAAGCTCTGGTCAAATCTGAAGAGCGCCACCAACTGCTCGCCGAAAGGTGAGCCGCTCGTCTGAAACCCGCTAAATGCTGTTGTCTGTTTGTACTGATTCCGCCTCGACTAGTGCTAGAAGTTTTGCATGATTCTCGGGTGTATTATCAATCCTTTTGCTTTTAACACCTGCATCTGTACCACATTTGTAATGTCCGTCATAGTTTTCAGATTTATTAATGAAGAGAAATTACTGAATTGTGGACTCTTTATATCACGGAGCTGCCACATGTTTTGCACGGACTTCATTATTACAATTAATGCATACGTGTCATAGGTTACCGGATTTAATAATTGTTTTTATAAATATCTGATAGTGTTTACAAAAAGTAGGGTCACAGCTGTGAAACCTAATAAAACTAGTTGAAATATTAGTAGAAACATAAATATGTGTGTGTGTGTGTGTGTGTGTGTGTGTGTATATATATATATATATATATATATACACATTACGATTTTGTTAATATAACTACATTTAAATAATACTTTTTGGACTTTTGCTGAGGCCCTGTAATTGAGAAGCACTGGTCTAACTGGTCTGAGGTGGTCTTAGGGGTATTATATGATTGAATTATAAAATTAAAGATTGAAATTGTACATTTGTGTAGCGATAATCTCAAAGTTTTGCAATTTTAAAAACGAAATGGCACGTTAAGTTGTGTGACACGTTTTGTCCCATATCTCAATGGTTATATATATTATATTTGTAATATCTATATAATTAGTGGTCTGTGGGAATCTGTTCCTGAATGATAGGTTATGGTATCTAATATAAATGTGCAAAGCCAGATAATTTGTCTGGGAATGTTCTGACATATCTGTATTTCTTTAGTTGTTTTTTTTTTCCAGGTTGTTTTGAGGCTTAGGATTCATATTGAGCATAAGAATGCATACTGAACCCAGTGACTGTGACTCATAACCCCAGCACTGCATCTGCTCTTCAGCACACCAAGAGACTCTGCATCTTAACAAGTTTAGAACTGTGCAGTTACCATGAGTGAGCAGGAATATGTGGAGCATCAGTACATGTGCAGTGAGTGCCAGCAGCTCTTTAATACGCTGGAGGAGGTGCTGGTGCATCAGCAGATCCACACCGGAGCAGAGGGGGACGAGGTCGAGGTCTTGCCGAGCCTTGAGGACTGTGACGCTGGGAAGAGCCAGTATCAATGCCTTGAGTGTGGAGCCATCCTCAGGAATCCAGATGAACTGCTGCTGCATCAAGAGCTGCACATGAGAGAGGCAGGCCAGGGTGAGTGCAGTGTTTAATGTATGTGCTATACTGTATGTTTAAGTTGGGAGTTTTTTCAAGTGCATGTAATCAGCACATGAATGCTTTATTTTCAGAGCTGTGTGAGGTCACAGAGGTGGATGCTGTCGATGCAGAAGTGCCAATCCAGTATCAGTGTTTGGAATGTCTGGCTCTGTTTGACACACCTGAGCTGTGGTTGGCTCACAGACAGGCACACAATAGAAGCAGCACCCACAGCAGCTTGAACACTGACACAGTGAGTACACACACACACACACACACACACACACCGATAAACGAGGCTGGGTATCCATGCTGATTCTGATTTGCTCTAAGTTTGTTTTGATTAGATTCCAATTCATTTGGGAATATTCCAGTTGCAATGTTCATTTATGTATGAAAGAAATCTCTTTCAGCTAATGAACCGTTTGAATTGGTATATTATAAAAATGTTCAGTTTGTAAATTGACAGCAGAGTTCTGTGAATGCCATCTAAGAAAACTTTAGTTCAACTGGAATAATGTTATATTTATGTGTAAAACTTTTTATAACAATATGTACAATTATTATAAAACAATAAACTCCCATGAAAAAGTATTGAAAAGCACTAAATGTGTTAATATGGCATATGTATAAATCAAATAATTTAATGTACATTACTGTTGTAAAGTCTGGGGTTGGTAATATATATATTTTTAATGTTTTTAAAAAGTCTTTTATGCTCACCAAGGATGCATTGATATAAAAAGACAGTAAAATCAGTAATACTGTAAAACATTAATACAATGTAAATTACAATGTTAATTTCTTTTTATATATATATATTTATTCAAATATTTACAATTTATTCAAATTGTAAAAATGTAGTATATTCCTCTGTTGGCAAAGCTGAATTTTCAGCATCATTACTCCAGTTTTCAGTGCCACATGATCCTTCAGAAATCATTCTAATAAGCTGATTTGGTGCCCAGGAAACATTTCTTATTGTTGTTGAAAATGTTGTGCTGCTCAACATTTTTTGGGAAACCGTGATACCTTTTTTCAGGATTCTTTGATTAATAGAAAGTTCGATACAATTTTTCTGTAACAATGTAAAAGTCTATTGTCACTTTTGTTTACAATAAATGCATCCTTGCTGAATAGAAGTATAATTAAAAAAAAATCTTAGCTATTTTAGATATTAGATATCTTATTTTGACAGAAATTCTAATATCAGCTAGGGCTGCACGATAAATCGAAATGGAATCGAGATCGTGATTCGAAAAGAAGCCACATCATCTCACTGAAGGATTTATTTCAAACTCGACTGACGTTATGAAGTGAGTTTGGAGTAAAAATATGTTATTAAATGTGGTATTTTTATGACAATCGCATTCGATTAATCGTGCAGCCCTAATATCAGCTAATAACTCGTCAGTAACACAGTAATGCTGTTTAATAGAGAAATGTGTATCTATTTAAACAAATCAATTATTAATATCATCAAAACCATCTACACCGTGATTGCCACTGTGTCAGGTTCTTGAGGTTCTCAACAAACAACTTGTACATACTGCAGAGTAATATATTTATCTTGTGATCTTTTTAGCAGTTTCTAATTTAATTGTGGGTTCTGTTTCAGGAATATGTTCTTCAGGCGGATGGTTCAGTCACTCCGGTTCAGTTGCTCAATGTTCAAAATCTAGTTCTGGATGAACAGAAGGCAGGCCAGATCCTGACCTTAGCCCAGGTCTGTTTACATACATGCATACATACCGCTATACACACACAACAAATACATTCTTTAAAGAGGGTTTGTTTTACACCATGATCGAACTAGGAGTGATGTGATAAAAGCTATATTTGATTTTTGTTCATGTCACAGTGGGGTCCATAGTGATAGGATCAAGTTTTCCCCCTCTTAGTAATTCAGGAGTTTCAGTGTGACAATGTCTGGGCCTATTTCCACATTGTTTAGGATCTTACAGGTCCCATATTTCCAAATTTACTTTTGTTGCCTTTACTTTTCAGGCTCTTCGAGAGCAAGATAACCCATCTAAAACTGCAGCCCCTCCCAGAACTATGCTAGTGCCAGCCAACACTTCCCTGCCTGGCTCCACCTCTGCGATGCTCCGCCTACAGTTCTGCTCCGCCCAAGCGATCGCTGATGGTTCAGCTTCAGCTACTCTTCGCAAAGCTAAACTCCTCTCCCCTCTCTTACCTGCTGGTCCTATCCGGCTGGACAATGTAACCACTCTTAACCTCCTCCCTTCCTCTGGTCAGGTGAACACATTAAATAAGGAAAATGAGGAGATTTTACTTATCCATCCTTATGAGTGCTCTGAGTGTAATCTGCTGTTTAGCACACCAGAGGATTTCCTTCAACACCAAGGGGAGCACTTCTTAGGCCAGGACAAAGAGAGTGGGGACACTGGGGTGATGGTGGGGTATGAAGATATTTCTGGGGCTAAGGAAGATGAAGGAAGAAGTGATGGATCTGAAGAGGGCAGCAAAGTTATTGCTGGGAGGCGTACATACACTGCCCGCTCGGCTGGTTTGGGTTTGACACCGTCACCCAGCAATCTTCGGTGTGAGGAGTGCAAAAGAAAATTCACCTCTGCCAATCGGCTTGTGGCACACCTTCGAGTGCATGAACAAGGAACACATGAGTGCCCAGAGTGTGATAAAGTGTTTAAGAAGTTGGTGTCCCTTCAGACTCACATGCGCACACACTCTGGTGAGGCACGCTTTCTGTGTGTGGACTGTGGACATGGTTTTACCACAGAAATTACTCTTATGATACATAGGTAATAATAAATACAAAACTGTGTTGTCAAACATCAAAACTCTTGTCATCAAAACTAAATTTTATCTTGCTTTTCCCGCTTTAGGAAATCCCATACATCTGAGCCACTGCACAAATGCCCATTTTGTGCCAAAACCTTCACCAACATGACCAAGTTCTTGTACCATCGTCGCACTCACAGAGTATGTGAGCCGACCGCACCAGTCTCTCAGGTAATAATTGACTTAATAAACAAAATTAGCTATGCACAACATCAGTATCATATTGGTTATCAGACAATATTAGAGATTTTGAAATTTATTGTTAAATGTATCCGTATTGGTCAATATTATATATATATATACATTTACCAGTATTTGAGTGTTCATGCTCATTTCTCCTATTATTACATTGAGGCCTTTGCCCTCATCAAAATTCAATTTGATGTTTAAAAACACTAGGGATGCACCGATATTCGATTCTGTCCAATACTGATATGATAATTATTTTCTTGTTTTGCCTGATAATCAATAAATACCTCATATATTAAAATTTTATACTAATTTGTCTAATGTAAATAAAAAAAATAAAAACTTTAAAACTTAAAATCAGTTGTTTAAATGATGCAAGGGAATATAGGCATTAAGGCATAATAATGTACACAATAAAACAACAATGTTCATAGTATAGAAAAAATGGTCATGTACAAATAAATATTCAGTATTGGTGATGCATATAGAATATTTCACATTTAAAAATTCATAATTAAAAAAATCTGTAATACCTTCCGATAACCAATAATGTACAGACATATAGTTCATTCTTAAAAAGCACCAATAACTTATGAATTATTATAATTGATTTATTACATATTTGCACTGAAGTCGTGCGATTTAAGAAATATACATTTTTAAAAAGATGTACAATGTAAGTGCTATTGTTCATTTTATCCATAAAAACTTCAGAACCTAATAATTGCACAAAAGCCTATTATATACTTTTTTCCTTAGAACGGAACTGAATGTGAATGTTTTAACTAAGAAACAAATGTAAGATTAATTCAAACCTCTCCCCTCTGCAGTTTGTACTGGCCCAGCAGTCACCTCTCTCTATCATTCAAAGAGCAAGAGAACGAGAGGCTGCTTGGAGGAAAGAAAGACAAGCGGTGACTATTCCTCCTATGGAAGATGACAGAAAAGAGTCCAGTGGCACAGGTTCTGGAGGTACTGCAGTGGTTTCCCAGTCTTCAGAGCCAACAGAAAATGGGCTTCATGCTGAACCCTCAAACACAGAACAAACCCAAAATGGAGGGAAAATACAGACAGACGACCCTAACCATTCAACTGCTGCCAATGTGGGAGGAGGAGGAGAGGAAGAAAGTAAACTTGGGACTCTTGCTGCTGAGGAAGAGCCAAAGTTCCCTTGCTCTATTTGTAAAAAAAGATTCTCCTCACAGGTTCATCTGTTGCGTCATCGCCGAACGACTCATACGACCGAAAGGCGCTTTAAATGCAACATCTGCGGGAAACCGTTCAAGAAGCAGATCCATCTGCGAAACCACCTGCGCACACACACGGGCGAGCGTCCGTTCCAGTGCAGTGTGTGTGGAAAGACCTTTTCCTCTCTTGCAAATCTTTCCCGCCATGGACTTACACACACGGGAGTCCGTCCGTACCGGTGTGACATATGCCACAAAGCCTTCAGCCAATCGTCAAATCTACGCCAACACCGTCAGCATCTTCACAGCAACACGACGCCCTCACCCTGTCCAGACTGCTCTGCTACTTTTATCCGTCCTGCTAAATTTGTAGCTCATCGTTTTCTTCACCACCCAGGGTCACCGGCACCTTACCCCTGTCCGCATTGTTCCGAGGGGTTCTTGCGCAAGCGTCAGCGAGACCTACATTGCCTGGAGGAGCATCCCAACCTGACACAGCCACATGGCATCTCCCAGGACTCCCAGGTTAGCAGTCAACTGGGCGCGACGGATAATACAGAGCAGCTAAGCACTCCTTCGATGGCGAGACCTAATCTGGATTGCACTATTTGTGGCAAGAGGTTAAACTCTCCTGCAAATCTCCGCCTGCACCAGCTAAGTCACGGACTTGGGCCCGGCCGGCCACGAGGCTCCAGCTCTGCCACTGGGAAGTCTCATCCCTGTCCGGTCTGTGGAAAACTTTTTGGTTCAGCCTCAAGCGTTACACTACATCAGAGAGTACACACCGGTGAGCGTCCGTATCCTTGTACGATCTGCGGAAAACGGTTTCGCCAGAACACACACCTGCGGGAGCACCTTTGCACGCATTCGGGCGAGCGTCCGTTCCGGTGCGAGTTCTGCGATAAGGGCTTTGTGCAGAGCATGCATCTGGCAGAACACCGGCGTACACACACGGGCGAGCGGCCGCATGCTTGCGGTGAATGTGGAAAGACCTTCAAGACGGTTTCGAACCTTAGGAACCATCGTAAGACCCACACTCGCACCCAAAAGCAACAAGAGCCAGAACACAACGCAGAAGCAGTGACTGCTGAATGTAACACAGCAACTTTTGCTGTTGTGGAAGCTTCTGAGATGGACCTGGCAACCACGGTACCAGCCTTCTGCCAGCAAGAGCTGCAGCTTGGACAGCCCCAAGTCATTCAAATACAGACATCCAACCTGACACAGGTAGGAAGCTGTTACTTCTATGTGTTGGAGCTCAGAGCAAAATCTATTGCAAAGGTTGGAAAAATAAAAGGGAATCGACTCCTCTTTAATAGCCTTTTCAGCTCAATACAGCTAATCATTAATTCACATCTCGTTCGCTCACTATAGTGATGGATGGTCAGTTTCAATAAATGGGTTAAAAAAAATGATTGCAGCTGTACATCGTACGTATTTCTAACAACTCAGTATCATGGTATGTCATGCAGAAACTTTCAAATAAAGCCATATGTATGAACATGTATTGCTGATTAAGATGATTAACTTTCATTTACTCAAGTTACTGCATGTCGAATAACATACAACATAAAATATGATTAGCTTATGTCTTCAACATGTTTCCTACATTAAAGCCAAGTGATATTAGGTGAACATGTTCCTCTGATGTTAAAAAGAAAAGAAAACAACAGTGAGGAATCGATTCCAGAGTCAGTTCCAGAACCATGAATCAGAATCAATTGATTCCAATTTTTTTTTGCATTTTTGGAAACCGCCCTACTGTGTGTGAGTTTGGGTCTTTGCTAGTTCTGCATATTAACTTTTGGTGCAAAAAATAATGGTTTCTATTTTTTCAACATTTCAGACTCATGGAACTCCCACTATCATGTGTAACGAGCTTGGAGAGACTATAGCCATCATTGAGACAAGCGGAGACCTGGCAGAGGCCATCGAGCTGTACCACAAGGCATTGGAGAGTGGCATCAGCATGGAGGTCCTCACTGTGGACAGCCTGCAGTTAATGTGAGAGAAGTGAAGAACAGGGCAGCATTCCTGTGGCCATCTTCTTGGAGATTTGAAGATTGCGATTAAAAGAAGAGCATAAGTGATGTCGGATGGGTTAGAACAAGTGAAAGCAGAGATCGAGAGAAAGTGTTCCAAATTCAAGACATTGTATTCATTTCCATTAAAGTCACTGAATGTGTGAACACGCACACCTCAAATAGCCGCTCCAGTCCATCCTTTGAGATATTTTTCAGCCTTATTTTCAACTTTTAAAAGACATTTTTCTAAATTTAATTTAACAATCTGAAAAGAGGGCTGATTTTAGAGGATGCATCTGACTGCTCAGATCTGTGATTAGATGGCTCCTGTTTTGGGACTAGAAATGGACAGTCTGTCTTACTGATGACACTCTTGTTCTGGCATTTGGACAGGGCCAGATGGAGGATATAAAGGCACAGATTTCTAAATGAAAGAATTTCACCCATGGACAGTAATGATTTCCGGTTAACATTCTAACCTGCAGTTGTTGCAAGGAGGTAGTTTAAGGGCATTGACCTGAAGAACAAAACAACAGGGAAGAGGGAGTTCAAAACAAGTAATGGACAGACATTATGCACCATCACCGCAATGGACACAGGATTCCCATGTGTTACATCTCATACATCTCTCGGTCTGTACACTGACTGTTTGTAGCATTTTTAATATTATGATGCTGATTTGGAGAAGTGTTGCAAATAAACAGTTTCTCTGTTTCCCTTGTAATCGCTTTGAGGAAATAACAGCAATAACGACATCACCTTAAAGGGATAGTTCGCTCAAAATTGAACATTCTGTCATCATTTCTTCACCCTCGTGTTGTTTAAAACCTATATGACTTTCTTCTGCGGAACAAAGAGAAGATATTTTAAATGTTTCTTAGTAGGGATGCACCGATACCGATACTGGTCTCCTGCACTCGTACTCCTACTCGTTAAAATGCCCCGATACCAAACGCGATACCACACAGCATGTGATAAGCGCCATATTCAGACAAAGAAACACCGACAACAGACAGCAACTCTGAGATCTTGTCATATTTTATTACCATTTTCTAAATTATTGCAGATAAACTGTGGTAATGTGAGAAACGTTGAAGGTGTCTGAATAAATTTTGATTTGACTGTGTCTATTTGATAAATGAAGTTAACCAACTAACATTATACATACCCTTTTGGTTTCTGTACCCAATATTTAAAAAATGTACAAATGCAATAAAAATATCGGTATCGGCAAGTACCAAAAATAACAGTGTCGGTATCGGGCAAGTACTGGAAAAAGTGGTATCGGTGAATCCCTAGTTCTTAGTAGATGCAGTGCAAGTCAAATGGGGCCAAAAGGGGACCCCAGTGACTTTCATTGTATGGACAAAAACCACACTGAAGACATTTTTTAAAATAACATTTTTGTGCTCCAGATAAGAATTAAGTCATACAGGTAATGATCATAGAATGTTCTTTTTTAAGTCAACTGGAGTAAACCTATTTAAATCTGTTTTGACGTTACATGGAATTCATTAGTCTCTTCATACTGCAATTGGCTTTGTAGGTTAATCTTCTTTACAGGTAGCAAGTCAAGAAATGTGATAAACTAACCACAATATACCCATAATGTAACTAGTACCTGCATATAGAAACACCCAATCATTCCTTTATTCTTAATGTTCACATCTAATAACTCGATGTACTATTCAGCCATACTCTTTTCAGAACTCAAACTTCATACACAAAAGTAGATCAGTGAAGTTTTACACACAATTGTTGTTCTTCTTCCTCAGTCTTTCTACTTATAACGAAGAGTCTGTTTCTTTGAACATATATTTATTTGTTTACTGATACAGTTAAAATGGAAAGCTTATCGGTATAAAGTCTTTCTCGGATATTTAAATCAGCAAAACAAGGGAACACATTAAGAACAGTTTCTAACCATATTTCTTTATTTCTCCTTTTGTTATACAATTTCATTTCTTGTTACTGGCTTTGTTTCTTCCAATGAGGTTTCTGCTCTTTATTGTGATTCTTTGGACTCTTACTGTATTTATGTACAACAAAGACCAGTGCTGCAAGAGAAGATCACCATCTATGGCCTCCCAGTCTCACCTCACAGCCTTAAAGTGATTGAGGAAAGAACCATAAAGTGACAGGAAGAGGAATGAGAAAGGGGAGGAATGTAAGTGGCAAACCGAAATAATAAAAAATGTACAACTACCAGAAAGATGTTTGGAGTGTCTACAACAAAGGATTATGTAATTACTTCCTGGTAAGAAATAAAACATTGTGAATATCAATATAAAGAGTGAAAGAAAAAAAGGTAGTGGAAGTGCCTCTATGTGCGAGGGAAGAGCTGAACTCATCCCTCCGTTTCTGCTAAAGAAAGAGTATATTAATAGGAATACAGTGTATATATAGGTTATAAGGATCAGATCCACAAGAACAACAAAGCGTTAAAGGGGTCATAGGATGCCAATTTTCCACACGCTGATATGATTCTTTAGATTCTTAATGAAAAGTCTGTAACGGTTTGGTTAAAATTTCCCAATGGTAGTGTAAAAACACTCTTTTCAGATCAAGCCGTTTTTGTAGCATTTTCCTTTAAATGTTAATGAGAACAGTAATAATGAGATTTTATAACCTGTAGCATTACGAGTTGAAAAATCAAGTTTCTCTAAAAAGTTAATAAAATTCTTATAGTAAATTCTTAAGAATATATTCCCAACATTCTCTTTGCTCCGTGCTTCACCAGCTCATGAAAAGTTGAATAAAAAAGGCAGGGAAAGAAATGTTTAAATATGTGGAATCTCTTAATATATGGAAAAAAATAAATCAATGGCAATAATGTGCCTGTTGACTTCCCTTCCATTACCTTTTTCCTTCATGGCTAGCCAATCAGAGGCCTCAGAATGACTCCAGTTTGACTGACAACCACTAAAGCCAATCATCGGACGAAAGGTTTACGAATGGCAGCGCAGTTCAGAGTCCCTCACCAAAGGTTTTCAGTGCCTTAAAGCTCTCTGGGAAAAGTCTTCAAAAATTAAAACACCACAGAAGAAGAAAAAAAAAAATCTAAAATAAAAGGACAATAAGTCTTCATTATCACTTAAACTCAGCCAATGGAGGCCCGCCTCACAATGACTGGCAGTAACCCACAAACCAATAACAAAACACCTGTGGCCAAACTACTGCCAAACAGACCTACGAACACAGCTCAGTCTGAAAAGGGATGGGGTTCCCTCGCACGTCTCGCCTTTCTAGAGGCATCAGCAGCACTGCGACTTCACTGGCGTACAGGACAGGCCCACAGTCCTCTAGTTTCAAAGTCCAAAGGAAGCCTAATGACTAAGATAATGCTGTAAATTAAAGAGTGTATATTCAACAGTGTCTGTGTTTATGTAGGCAAGTGTGTCTGAATGTGTCAATGTTAAGTTTTCATAATTCAACATCATATGAAATACTGAGAAGTTTCAAAACCCCAAAGCGTTTCGAGCCGTCTCCCCTCATCTGCTCCATATCCATGAAAATGTTGCTCTTGCTTTTTCTCTCTTAAGTCCTTTGGAGGCGGTCATAGCAGAGACAAGACAACAAATGTAGATCATGCAGATATTGAGGGGAGACATCTGGTCTTCAAGCCATCCACCTGCCCATCAACCTCATCTGGTGGAGTCCTGTGAATCGCCAGCATTTCTGGGCTCCTCCGAGCTGTTCTGCTCACTCTCCCGCTCGGCCTCTTTTTCCTGAGGCTCTGCCCCAACAGTGATGTCACTGGCCGCCACCACCCCAGAAGGCCCCGGCAATGAGGATATATCTGAAGTGCCGGCCAATTCCGACGGAGCTGCCGTTTGCATGATCTTCTGCCGGACCTCTCGGATCTTGAGCTGTAAACACACCTTAGTGGGGAAGATATCAGAGTATCGCGCCTGGAACGCAGCAGTAGCTTGAGCTATTGAATGAAGGAGAGGGGCGAAAGGGGGAGAGAAAGACAGCATTAGATGGAAGAAAATTTTGAAAAGGATTTTTATTTATCTAATGCAAGGGTTTTCGGCCTTCATAAATCTCAGAAGATGCGCCACTCAGCCAACTTAACGACTGGCAACATAAATCACAGCATGATGCTCTTAATAACAAGTTCTGACTTCAGTTTTGGTCTCTTTCTCACACAAAGCCATCGCAAGGCATTAGAAGTGCAAATGTTTTATGATGCATTTATGGAACTTTTCGAAGCGTCAGTCGATTCTTTTTGTAATTGCATGAAAAAGAGAGACCAGAATTTCTCCATTTTTGTTCAATAGACATGCTCGGAATGACGTGATGGTGAGAAAATTAGATAATGTTAATTTCATTCCTTTAAAGGGGTCATATGATGCTATTTTAAAGATCATTCTTTTGTGTATTTGGTGTAACAGAATATGTTGACATGCTTTAATGTTCAAAAAACACATTATTTTTCAAATAATGTACATTATTGTAGTTCCTCTCTCAAACACGTTGTTTTCTACAAAGCCCCTCCTTCCGACAAGCACAGACTGCTCTGATTGGCCAGCTGACCCAGTGCATTGTGATTGGCCGAACACCACAAGCACGCGTCGGAAATGTAACGCCCCTTTCCATAATCGCGAGCTTCAGCTTTCAACATAAATGTAAAGACAGTACATAATGTCCTTAGTTTTACCATCAGTTCAAGCCCGAAAGGGGAACAGTCGCGTGACAGACACAGTGATGTTGCTCGTATGTATTTGCAGTACACAAGTCGCGATTAAGAAAGCTGACTCCACTGTGATGTGACCCTGTCTTTCTCTCACGCACACACACACACACACACACGACACGATACTCTACACGGCGCAAAACTCAATAGCATTTGAACAGTCAATAGCAAGTATTTAAACTATTAAGAAAACATACTTACAGTAGCTGATTCACAATAAGCGCCAGATTGTCATAGCAAAGTCAGAATTGACCCATTTGTTTTAGAAATAGCCTTTGCACAGCCAGCCTTGTAGGCTACTCTCCTAGGTTCACAAAACTGTCGTCCATAAAATGCGTTGCACAAATTCAAACATCTGGGTTGTGCTGTTCTGTTGTAAACAGATCTTAACAATGATTCCTAATTGCATCTACTTTCGGAAGGCCAAATAAAGTGCTTTTGCTTTCGCACAGAAACACACAGCGTCTCCCCGACATGACTGCATCAACACTACTGCGGTTCCTGAAACCGCGCCTTCTTTCTTTGCGTGAACATTTGGGGCGGCATTACGCAAATATTTCCACATCGTGACATAGACATGTGGGGGCGTGTTTGAATGAGGCGTTTTAGCCCGGTCTGGATCAGCCTTCTCTTTTAGATAGAATAAATCCTTTTGTGGGAGACTTTGAGCTTTGTAACTCTGCAGATCGTATACATGCACAAATAGCTACATAACACGTTAAAGAAAAGGAAAAATAGAAATCGCATCATATGACCCCTTTAATATTGTGAATCATGCGCTAGGCTGGGTGATATGGCCAAAAATACAATCACAATATTCATTTACCATAAATGTGGAAATGCTTTCCACATGTTTGTTAGACCATGAGAATGAATGTAAACATAATGTTTGTTCACAATTAAACCCCACAATTTAATTTAGGGTCCTAAAAAAAGTCAATTTTATTGTCCCCTAAATTCTGTGTTTTCCATTTTGCTTTTTTGTGTTTTATGATTTATTATTATTATTATTATCATCAAAAATGGTGTCTAATAAAGTAAATGAATAAAACCTTAAATGTAATCAATCT